AGTGCAGCCCTCATTGGACAGTGTCACGGGTCAGGCAGCGCGTCCCTCATTGGACAGTGACCTGGGTCAGGTAGTGCAGCCCTCATTGGACAGTGACCTGGGTCAGGTAGTGCAGCCCTCATTGATCAGTGACCCGGCTCAGGTAGTGCATCCCTCAGTGATCAGTGACACGGGTCAGGCAGTGCGTCCATCATTGGACAGTGACACGGGTCAGGCAGCACATCCCTCATGAGCTAGGTAATGTGCTCCTCATTGGGCAGTTCTGAGTTCTAAGGGATGCTTGACCATTCCAGGCTGGCTGTTTGTTTCAACAACATTCTGGATGATTTCCATCTCACAATTGTCCTTCTAGCCTCCACTCAGACCTTGCATAGAGTGACCGCTCCTCCCCTCCTTCCATTTCAGATGTTCCTGGTCTGCAAGGACAGCAGCTTAAAGCACCTGGTTCTCTGTGTCCATTTCCCTTCCCGGAACGAGGGCTCATCTGAGGTGCTCGAATACACCATTAAAGAAGAAAAATCGAGTAAGTACGGCTGTCCTCCCAGCCTGGCTCTGACCACATAGCGGCAGTAGATACTCCGCCTCTAACCACGAACACTCCCATCGCAGGCAGACTAGTTTAAAATTAGAAGAAGGGGAAAAACGTATAGTTCACTGCAGTTATCCTGGCAGGTTCTCTCTGAACTCACAGATCACTCAAAAGTTAGCATCATTCTGTGCCCCGAGTCCTGGCCTGTTGGCTCTGAGTCCTCATGGCCTCATTGAGCTCCTTCTCTTAAGCTCAGTAGGACAAGGAGGCAGGAGAAAATGGAAGAGAAGAAAAGGAGAAGAAATGTCCAGACACTTGGGTGTCCTGGGGTCAGCTCAGCATATATTCAAACCAACATCTTGGTCATGTGACTGCTCTGAGCCTCAGTTTACTCCTCTTTAAAATGGGAGTGATAGTCACTGCCTAGCCTGTATCACAGGGTTTTAGTGGGGGTCAAAAGAACAAGCACTTGTAAGACAAGACCCCCATGTTTGCACCAAGCTCCCTGGAGCAGAGTTGGGGCTCAGTAGGAGGGTGTTTGGGGGCCCCTGATTAAGAGTGGGTTTATGTTGCTATGCAGGTCTGTTGGGTTTGAGCCCTTTTGACTTCTGGGCTCAGTCAGATAGACCAACCATGGGCCGTGTTTGCACATGCTGGTATTATGATCCCAAAAGCCTATTAAAATGTAGAACAAAATTTCAAATACTCATGGAATCTAGACTTTCTGGAGCCATGAAGGCTGGATGAACCCCTGAAACTATAGCCCAGAGATTATCTTTAAAGCTTATGCCAAAAATAGCCCCTGAATCTTCTTAAAAACCAATAAGAGTTTAAGTAGCCTTGAGCGCTATACTTCTTTCAGAGGTACCTCTAGGGGAACAAATTGACTGTAGCAACTCATCCCATTAGATAGGAAACTTAGCAGCAGTGAGGTGACACACTGGGGAGGAACAAGTGCTACAAGGAGAGCAAAAAGGACTACATAATTCAGAAAGAAATCCAGGTCAATGAATTGTACATGTCGTAATGGTGGAATTGTACTTTACTGTATTTATTCTCAACGACAACAGAAATCAAATATGTTGTTTTTAAAAGAAATCCTAACAGAAGAATCTGTAGAATATTCTGGAGTTTTCTGCCCTAGGTTAGCAAGAGAGTCACAACAGCTAAAGAAATTGTCGATAGGTGTCGTTGAATCAGTACTGATTCATAGGTACGCCGTGTACAAAAGAAGAAAGCACTCCCATCCTGCAAAGGGAGCATGCCCGTCCTGCACCCTCCTCGTAACTGATGTTGTGTTTAAGCCCATTGTTGCAGCCATTGTGTGGCTTTATCTCAGGGAGGGTTTTCCTCTTGTTCACTGATCCTCTCCAAGCCTGATATCCTTCTCCAGGGACTGATTGTTCCTGATAACATAACCAAAGGAAGTGAGACCACATCTTGCTATCCTTGAGAGCAGTCCAGCTGTACTTTTTTGCTATTCTGGCACCCCGTGGTATATTCAATATTGTTTGCTAACCTGCCCATCCTGAGTGACCCTGGTGACATTTGAAATACTGGTGGCATCGGGTCCAGTATCACAGCAACCACAATACAATAAGAGCATCACGTGATCTACCACAGTACTACAAACTGACAGTGCTTTTTCCCAAGAAACACTCATGCCCGTTACTGGGAAGGTACAAGAATACAACCAAGTTCCTGACTTCAGGGGTTTCCAAACTTAGTTGGAGGGTGCAGACACGTTGGGGCAGGAGAGACAAAGTTATCAATCATTACTGTGCTGTGTGACAGATGTTAACTGCAAAGGGGCACCAAGGAAACAGGCCACATGAGGAGGACTCTCAGGACAGGTGGCAAAGAGGGAGACGTTTACGCTGGATTCTGAAGGATGAGTTTGTTAGTCTGATGAAAGGCTGATTTTCTAGCTCCAGAAATGAACGAGAAAGTAAAACCAAAAGCAGGTTCCTTTTCCTCAACTCAGACTCGCACAGAACGGGTAAAATACAATTCACTCCTTCAATAGGTAGTTATGATGTGCAAAGACATTCATGAGGAGAAAAAAACAGAACTTCCAGACATTCTGTCTATCCAGCTTGATTCTCATTCCCTCCAAGAGGGCCACCCTGCCCTTGGCCAGGTCCCTTCCCATGTCCTAGGACATGTGTTGACATGAAACATGCTCAGAGCCTCGTTGTGGGAAACATAGTACATTCTGACAGAGAGGAGACAATAAACACATGGTCATGGAGATGACTCACAGAGCAACCTATGCTGCGGAAGGCATGGATATGGAGGAATATTGTGACCCTGTAGGATAAGCATTGTACTGCTAACCACAAGGTCAGTGGTTCAAACCCACCAGCTGCTCCTTGGAAACCCTACACAGGGTTTCTATGAGTCAGAATCAATGGGATGACACTTACCAACAACAATAAACAAGTAATGGCTGAAATCTTACATGCAAATTCTCTGATCAGAGTTGGGGAGGCTCATTCCCGGACAGAGGCTCTGCTCACTTCCACTGGCAGCCTCCCGCTTCCTAAGGTTGACTCCAGGCTGGGAGAGGTGAGAACAGGAAGGAGGCTTATGGGTGGGACAGGCTTGGAAGTAGGCAGGTTGCTTGTACTTACATTCCATTGGTTAGGACTCAGTCACCTGAGCACATCTTATCACAAGCATTGTTGTTGTTGTGTTGAGTTGGTTCCAACCCATAGCAACCCTGTATAGGGTTTCCAAGGAGCAGCTGTTGAGCTTGAACCGTTGACCTTGCAGTTCAAACATCATTGCCGTCTGGTGCATTAACTTACAGCGCCACACCAGGACCCCAATCACAAGGATTAGACTGGAAATTTTAGTCTCGTCATGTGCCTTCCTCAGGAGGAGCAGAGGACCCGGATTGTAGGAGTCTTCTCATAGGAGACAGGGGAAGGAGTCGTGGGTCTGAGGGGAGGGTTGTTAATTTGAGTGGCAAAGGTGGTGGTTGTTAGGTGTCATGGGGTCAGTTCTGATTCAGAGCAACCCTATGTAGGGTTTCCAAGGAGCAGCTGGTGGGCTTGAACCACCGACCTATGATTAGCCTTCCAGTGCTTATCCCACAGCGCCACAATAGGACTCAATGACCCCCTTATCCTATTGTCTCCCTCTTCTCGAGCTGCTGTAACAGAAATACCCCGACTGGGTGGCTTTAAAGAATAAGAAATGTGTTTTCTCCCAGGTGTCAGGAGGTGAGAAGTCTGAAGTCTGGGCGCTGACTCTAGGGAACGCTGTGTCTGTTTCTCAGCTCTCGGGGGTTGGGAGGGGAATCCATGTCTCCTGGTGGACCGTAGCTTCTTGGCCATTTTCACATGACCATAACGTTTCTCTTCCCTTGTTTTTTTCCTTCTGTGTCTTGTCTGGTCTTTTTTGTACCTCAGAAGTGATTAGGTTTAGTACCCACCCTACACTGATCTATAGCCTCATTCACATAACCAGAGAAAGCCCTATTCAAATGGGACTACATCCACAGATAAAAGTGTTGCAGTTGTTAAGTGCCATCAAGTCGATTCTAACCTACAGTATAGGGTTCCCAAGGAGCAACTGGTGAGCTTGAACTGCCGATCTTGCAGCTCAAATCGACTTTGCAGTCCAGCGCATTAACCCACAGTGCTACCCCAGGACTCCAAAAGTGTGAGGACTCCAATGCTTATTTTGGGGAACACAATTCACTCCATAATACCTGCAGAACTCAGTGGGGAGAATGGGAAGGAATCTCAGACCAAAGAGAGCAGAAGATTATGGTATCTCCAGGCCAAGAATATAGATGTTGTCGTTGTTAAGTGCTGTTGAGTCGGTTTCGACTCATCACAACCCTGTATGGGGTTTCCAAGAAGTGCTGATGGGTTTGAATTGCTGACCGTTTGATGTATAGATAGCATCTCTAAAGACTTCCAGAATGGTGTGTTTGGCATTCATACCTGCGGTTCTCCATGGAGCACTGATAGGGTAGTGGATTCTGATCTGGGTGGCTAACCACAAGGTCAGCAGTTCGATTCTACCAGTTGCTCCACAAGAGAAAGATGGGGCTTTCTGCCTCCATAAAGATGTACCCCCGTGAAAATCCCATACGGGGTCGTCGTGAATTAGAGCTGATGAGGTGGCACACAACTCTCACCAATACCACTGTTTTCCAAGAACCTGAGCTCTTTCTTATCTGACCAGAATAAAGTGGTCTTGGAAGGCCCTCCAAGAGAAAGCAATGTCCATCAGTCCAGGTGCTTATGGACTTGTGGGCCAGCTGAGTATAGTGTTTTCTCAATCTTATTGATAGTGAGCATGGCTTCAGGGACTCAGCTATCCAGACACTAACTGACCACTTGATTTTCAAAACCGACATTGGCCAACAGTAGCTGAAAGTGATTCTACAGCATCATAAGTTCTAGGGTGCTGAGGAGGCTCCCTGTTCAAGGGCAGTGTGACCAGGGAAACTTCAAGGAGGAAATGAGAATGAAGTTGGACCAAGAGAATGTCAGCAGGTTCTCTTATTGTCCTTCACATGAATGCCTTTGTTCCAACGCTTTTTTCTCTGCTCCCTTGCCCCAGAGTCCAGGACAACCACTTCTAGACCTTTCCAAACCAGTTACATTCTCCAGCTGACCAGTCTTTGGGACTTGGACAGGAAGTATCTCCCAGGCCTATCCCTTGGAACCAAGTTGCATGTTCACTTCCAATTAGAAACCCAGGGGATGAAATAAGACACCCAGGGATGAGGACACCCACCTCTATAGGTTCTCCTTTTCCTCCCAGGGCCATGCGATAGAATCTTGTTTTTCATTTTTAAACTAAAAAAAAAAAAAATCAATGCTCAACATTGCCCAAAAGACAACCAAAACCTCTTCATGTGGCATGATTCTGCCCATTCACTGCTAATAAGTTAGTAGATGTTGTATTATACTTTTTCTTTATATTATTCTACTGTTCTCCAAGTCCAAGACCCCTCAGGTGTGTCACCAGGG